AAGAACAAGTCCCTCAACCTTCCTCTTTTTAACAATCTAGGGAATCAAGGTTCCAATCCTAATCATAACATATGCAAAACTAAGTAAATTCTTTCCATCAACCTAAATGTTTGGGGACAAAGCTTATCAATACCATTGCTAGTCGAGGAACCTCTAAATACCATTGTTAAAAGAAACAAAAACAAAAAGAACATCTAGTGTCCATCACTACAGAGATGTAACCTCATAATATCCAAATACCAAAAAACCGATAAAGCCCATAGAAGTAATCCATTCCGCTGAACAAAACCAGCATATCATAAGTCTCTTTCTACTTTCTTTACTCATATTCTATAGGTCAATTGGCTTCAACAGGTGAAAAAAAATCAAAATTATCAAACTACTACTTGAAAACAAACGAAATGAAACTTAAATAACCTTAATGAGACACCACAATGTTACTACTTAACAACGCATACTAGAGCAAATAGGTTTTTATATAATGACTGGCAATCAGCTTGCATAGGGAAAAAATGAAATGTATCCGAACTAATACTTGAAAACAACAACAACATACCCAGTGTAATCACACGATTGGGATCTAGGGAGGGTAGTGTATACACAGCTTACCCCTCTCCCTTGGGTAAAGGTTGTTTCCTATAGACCCCCGGTTTGAATAAAACATATCAAATTAGTTATCAAAAGGAAATACAGTAGTGAGGAAGCTAAGTCAAAAATACAGGAGAACAAAACAATAGAAACAACAAATAGATAGCCGAAGCAAAGGAAATAACAAGTAATAATCAAATCGAAAAATAAGATAGTATGAGAGTAATAATAATAAACTTATAAGAAAAACTAGTAAACTCTCAACTACCTACTAAACTTCCACCCTAATTTTCAACCTCCAAATTAAATAAAATTAAACAACCATAATGAGACACCAATATTTTACTTTTAACAATGCATGCTAGGAACAAATGGGTCTCTATATTATCTCTTTTGATAATTGTAGTGTCCATGTCAACTTTCAAGCATCTCAACTAGTTCTACAAGATACCTAATACCTCACACAAGCAACAAACACCAGGTAACTCTATGACTAAGACAGATAGCAAGAAATCACTAGTGTTTTTGTCTAACAACTACACAAGCAACAAGCATCAAGTAAATTTGTCCATCAAAGATAGAACAGATAACAAGAAATCAGTGACGTTTTTGTAAACAACTCATACAAGCAACAAGCATCAGGTAACTCTATCCATCAAAGCTAGAACAGATAACAAGAAATCACTAGCGTCTTTGTCTAACAACACACACAAGCAGCAAGCACCATGTAACTTTATCCACCAAGACTAAAACAAATAGCAAGAAATCACTAGTGTTCATTGACAGCTGGGCCACATTGTAGGCCAAAATTTACCGGAAAAAGAAAATACACAGTTAATATACCGGATTGCGGCGATTGGAAACTTCGCGGTTGCGGAACACGACGGAAGCGAAATCCTGCGTAGATTTTGCAAAGGATTTTAACTTGTCTACAACTGAAACAGCTGCTGCTTCCATTTTTGAAAACCTATGTATGAATCAGAAGAATAAAAAAGCTTCGATGAATTGTGTTAATGGCTTTTCAACAATGGAATTTCACTTTTCTCTACTCTTCCGCCATAACTGTGTAGTACAAGTTTGTTATAGAGAAGATGGAAATGAAAATTGCTATATATATAATTTAATTTAGATATATTGCGATATTTTAAAATCAAGAAATTAATTATGTTAACTTATTATTATGTTTTTAAAATTATATATTGAAAAATAAATTATTTTTAAATTTTAGTGATTTCTACATATATATTATATACGTTGTGTCGAAACTTAAAAAGTGTTTGACATGAACGAGACTAGCATACATTATGTTTGTCCTTTATTATTAATTTTCTAATATTTTTTATCGAATAATTTTTAATAACTCAATTGATTGGTTCGATTAATTATTTTATAATCATTTTATCCATTTTCTCATTTCTTTCCCTTGTTTTGAAAAAAATAAATGGAGGTGAAGAAGAAAAATAGAATAAAAAATTATAAGATGAAAATTGAATTCTCGCCCTTAATTTAAAATAAACAATCAATTAATACCTTTTTTGTGCAATAATAGTTGTCCACTATTGATTTTGCACACTTCTTAAGAAACTATAAATAGAAAGATAATTTTACTTGTGAACAAGCTGAATGATTAATATTATTGTCATTGTGCATTTTTTTCCACCTATGACTATATTTAATTTCTTTTGTATGTGAAATTTATTTTATATTTTATTTATGATTATGCTCACTGCTTTGGTTATTACATAAGCTTTTAATTTATTTTGTTTTGTGTGTTAAATATTTTGGGTTCACATGAAAATTGAAAAAAAAGATGGTGATAGTGAGCAATTTTATTTTAGTGTAATTGGAATTATTATTTTCTTAGTGTGCAATTGATTCTTTGAGTTATAACAATAATTCACTAGTTTAATTATTGTGCACCAAACATAATATAATATATTGTTGTATGTAACTCTCTGTCTTGACAAGTTTAAGATATTAGTACATACTTTGTTGAGAATATTTTTATTGTGTTTCTTTTGTTCTATATTTATTTGTACATGTTAATCACAAAGTGACAATATTTTTTAAGGATTAACGGCGAGTCCTATTATATTTGGCTTATTATGTCATTGATTGAGGGTAAGACGAATGATTCAAGTCCTATCACACCAAGAGGGTAATACATCGGGTGAGAGTCCTGGTGCACCATGATAATAAAATGTTGGGTTGGGTCCCAACAAATAATGACCTAAAATGCCTTTTTATGGGTAAGATATTGGGTTCAAGTCCCAACATTAAATAATAATGATGTAATGATGACTGAGCAAATTGATATACTCTTGATAAAAGTCATGAAATTTGTCCAATTGATTTGGTCCATTCTCTTATTTGAATGTAGTAGCAGGACATAATGTGTCTGAAAATGACAAGTGGTTAAATGTTAAGGAAAAATTACCTAACTACACATCCTTTCTTACCCTATTTTCTATTATTTCCTATCATTTTAAAAAAAAGGGAAAACGTCAAATATGCCCTTAAACTATTCGAAAACGTCTAGATATACCCCCGTTTAAAGTTTGGCTCACTCGTGCCCTCGCCGTCCAACTTTTCGTCTATATATGCCTTTATGGGCATTAGTTGGCCTGCTGGAAATATCCAACTCATTTTACATTTCTTAAAATGCCAAATGGATTGCCACGTCATTTTTACATTACCAAGTGACATTTATATTAAAAGGGAAAGGGGTCGCTTATGCCCCTAAACTATTCGACCCACTTTTAAAACACCTATCTGATCCATAACAAAGGGTTCAATTATGCCCCCAATCCGACCCATAAATCAACCCCTCTTTTAAATAACCCGTATAATATCCCTTCTTCATTACCATCAAAATCGCAGATTTCATTTCAAAGTTAGGGTTCTTGAGAGCCCTTCCCCCATCGATTTCATTTTGAGAAGCTTGCACGACAATAAAAGAGTGTTCTAGTCCATAGCTTCTCAAAATGAAATCGATGGGGGAGGGCTCTCAAGAACCCTAGCTTTGAAATGAAATATGCGATTTTGATGGTAATGAAGAAGGGATATGATACGGGTTATTTAAAAGAGGAGTTGATTTATGGGTCGGATTAGGGGCATAATTGAATCCTTTGTTATAGGTCGGATAGGTGTTTTAAAAGTGGGTCGGATAGTTTAGGGGCATAATCGACCCCTTTCCCTTTTAATATAAATGTCACGTGGTAATGTAAAAATGACGTGGCAATTCCATTTGGCATTTAAAAAAATGTAAAATGAGTTGGATATTTCCAGCAGACCAACTAACGCCCATAAGGGCACATCTAGACGAAAAGTTGGACAGCGAGGGCACAAGTGAGCCAAACTTTAAACGGGGTATATCTAGACGTTTTCGAATAGTTTATGGGCATATTTGACCCTTTTCCCTTTAAAAATTTACAAAAGTCTCTCTTTTTCCTCAAATTTTCTCCTTTCCAGATACATAACTTTCAATCTTCCAACTTCACTATTTTTCTCCCTTTTTCCATGCCTATAATCACTCCAATATATCACCAGTTACCTTTATCACTTCTTTATTTTAAATTTTAAATATTTTATCTCTCCGGTTAATTCTTTAAAGTTAATCAAGAGGTAGTTACCTTTATCATGCAGTACTATTTTATAACTAAACCATTGTTTATCATATTCATAATTATTATTTTTGTATATGATACATAGCTACGTCAAATTAAACGGACATGATACATAAATACTAATTTATACTACATGTATCGATCTCAAACCAAACAACTTATGGGCAACAATTACATGTTTAATGTATCCCGTAACAATACAATACTTATCAATTTAAACAAGATAGTAATGTATCATGCACTAATTTTTCAGATATGATACATAAATTTGAATTTATACTAAATGTATCAATTACATAGCAACTACCACACAGTAATGTATCAATCTCAAATCTAACATCTTATGGGCAACAATTACTTATTTAATGTAGTTAGTATAAATATGATACTTGTCAATTTAAACGAGATACATAAATAGTAATGTATAATGCACAATTTTTTTAGATATGATACGTAAATTTGAATTATACTAAATGTATCAATTTACATAACAACTACCACACGATAATGTATCGATCTCAAATCTAACATATTATGGGCAACAATTATTTATTTAATGTACTTAATATAAATACAATAGTTATCAATGCTCAAGCAATGACCAAGCTAACGTAGTCGCTGCCAGTTACAGACTCAAATGGTGCATATGTAATGGATATACAAAAATTCACTTAGAACTGGATTTGCTGGTCATTGTAAACATGCTTAGGAACAAAAAAACAAGGAACTCCATCTTCAACTGTGTACAACTTTTTGGAATGGGGATGACGGGTAGTGTCAAACAGTGGCGAAGCTAAGAATTTTACGAAGGGTGTCCAAATATTACATAAATAAATAAAAATTCGATGATCGAATGCATTGAAAAAATTAAAATTGAACTACATAATACTAATATTACTTTTCTTACGAATAAATGTTCCAAAATTTTATAAAATCAAATTGCATAATATTTAGCTTTAATATTTATGTTTAATTTAATATAAAGTGAACGAACAAAGCAAAAAAAAAAGAAGGGTGCGGGGAGGGGGCATTAAGCTTAAATTGAAATCATTTTTATGTTTCAGCTTTCACTAATCTATGGTGATGACAATAATAACGAGACATGAATAATGAAAGCAGAATCAAATGAGGTGTTCCTTTGTTCCTTTTAGCAACTTTATAGAAATAGTTTAGAATTTGTTTATTAACTTTAAATTAAATAATTACATTTAAGTTTTATTTCAAATTTTAATGAAAAAAAATAAAAAGTCAAATTCATTGAAAATTAAATTTGCTATTAAACCTAGATTTTTAATTTAAAATATAATTTAATTAGCTTAGAAAATTAAAGAAATAAGTTAAATTTTCTATTAGCTACTAAACTGAATAGTAAAATAAGAATGTTCTAAAATGATAATAAATTGCGGTTGAAGGGATTCGAACCCACGCCTTCAAAGTATCCAAGAGAGCCATACACCGTTGGGCCATAGCTTCTTGATGTGTTTAGAGTGTCCAATCTATTAAACTTAACCGTTACAAGTAGCATTTTACTTATATATACGGTATAATTTTCTGGCATAGAGTGTCCAATTGAACACCCTCGGGACACTGCAGCTCCGCCACAGGTGCCAAACCTAGAACACCTAGGTACTGCCTATGGTGATGACAATTCATAAAAAATACAAGATACATAAATAGTAAAATGCTAAGTAACAAAAATATTCATGATGTATATCTCTCAAAATTTTTGATGATCTTCAATAAATTAGGAGAAGAATTTTGAATCTCAAAATTTTCAATAATTTTGAATCAAAATTGAAAGGATTTTTGATGAACTTGGAGAAGAAAGAATCTTGAATCTCAATTTTTTTGATAATCTTGAATCAAAATTAAAAGGATGTTCGATGAATTTGAAGATTCAAAAGGAAATTGTTTGTCCAACAACAATTTCATCACTTTTGTATCCTTCATAATTCACTTCGCTTACCCAAAATTTTGACAAAAGCTTTTGAATCAAATCTGAAAGGTTTCTTCATGGAATTTATGTAAGTTATACAACTGTTAATGGTCAATTGCGGCAATTTAAAGAAAGAACAATATGGGTTCTTAAGATGACCTTCAAATGTGAAGGTAATTTTTGGTCATCAAAGTGGTATGAAAGGTTATTTGTCACATTGGGTTGGTGCAACCCAATTTGAAAGTTTTGTGAATCCTCCATCAAAATAAAGAAATACAAAGTGATAGTACATTTAGTACTTTTAAAGTGATGTCGAGGTGGGTCAAATAAATTTGATAATGTCAAAGTATGACTAATAAAAACTTATGGAGCATGTACAAATGATTATGGTCATTTCTTGAAGAGAATGTGACTTGTGTTCGTTTGGATAAGGACATGTTCATGTATGATTAAATAAACGTCACATCTCACCTATACAGAAGGTTTGAGATATTGATTTTTTTTTTTT